GAGGATGAAGTCAGGGAGTAGTTTGAAGCTCATTAGCATATGCCAAACTGACTATAGTGGGATACTACAGAAATGGAAAAACTCTAATAAGAACTAAAAGTAACATATTAAATTATATATAATATATAATAAATTATATAATATATTACTTTATATATTACATAATGTTTTAAGTTTTAAGCTGACAAAAAATTTGTTTGGTTTTTGTAAGTTGTTCTGTGATCAGACAGCCACTAGATGGCATTAGAGACACTGCTAACACTACCACACTGGCATAAGGTCCATTTGAGGCCTATGTTTTCATTATTTCCATGCTACACAGGCTTTCCTGATGGTGATATCCTGTTAACAGTTTTGAATAGCATCCACTTATACTCCTTCTGACACAGCTGGTTTCATTGTTTCAACATGAGGTCCCTTGTTTGTTGTCACTGCTTCTCCAGCTCAAAATAAACCTACTAAATAACGCCAGACTTTCTGAGAGTAAAAACACTGTCTCTGAATAATTACCTAAAAGTCGAGTTGGCTTCTAAACCTTTGGTCCATTTATAACTCTACATAAATTAGTGTGAAAGTGACAAAATGAGCGATAATGAAGGCAATTTAATAATCCATATAACAGGTAATTTAATGGAGTTGTATTTGTTTAATTTTAATTTTAGTATGCACTTTTAAGAGTAATGCTGTGTCTGGTAATGTGTTGTTTGTTTATGAGCTGGCGATGTGCATTGGCTGTTATGAGGGTAAAAACTAAGCAAAATCCATATTTGACATGTCTCACAGCATTAAAGAAACATACAAATAAAACGTGTTAACAGAGAAATGTTTGCTAACACTGTTGAAAAAGACCATTTAAGATGTGAAAATCTGACTCCATATTCAGAACGGATTTCCACCTTCCAGTATGCAGAAATTACTTATAAGAATTACCCATTCCCGCAGTTAATAATCACTGTTGGTGTAAAGGTTTTACAGGACACAATTATCTTTTTCTATTATTTGAGCTATTATTTACTTATGAAAGTGGCCCTTTTGCATTTGGTTGGTTCATACTTAATTCCCACAATATCAGAAAAATGGTAAAAGGGGCCACATTTAAGAGCAAATTGTTGACACCTAGACATAAAAGTCAGAGTTTTTATAACATTTACTTTGTTATGCTTCTTGTGTTTAGTACAGAACTGAAAGCCTTTGTGATCACTGTATTCAGAATACAATGGGATTAGGTGTGTTCCTCCTGCTTGTTGCAGTTGAAGTTGTAAAGATATACTTAACATTAAATTATAATTAAAATATACTAAGAACACCATAAAACCACTTGCACACATTAAAAAAGAAGTAGCTTTACCATGATGTGAAATGTAATGAAATAGCATAAAATTTAATATGTAAAGTCTATTTTTAAGCAAATTAAAATGCTATTTTGAGCCTACTTATCAACATCTTACCTAAAGTTCTAGTTTCATTTTTGAAACCTGTGTGCTGTGAATAGTTTCATTTCACTGAAAACCACTGTGGTGAGCAAGAGTTTCATTTCACTGGAAAACACTGTGTTGGAGAGCAGAGGCGGAGCCAGACATTTGAAACACCCGGGGCTTAGCCCTAAAGGGTAGTATGCATGTGGGATTTTTTTTTT